CACAAGGTCTACTTTCACGGTGATAGTGCCGTCAATCCCAGCTTGAAGCCTGGACAGGAAGGATGGCTCATCTCCGAAGGCCCCAACGCTACTCTGCAAGGTGGCATCACTGCCGCCATGCCAGGAGGAAGTCTCATCGGTGCCCTCTCCGCCGGTGCTCTGGCCGACCGATTCGGAAGGCGTGCTGCTCTCTTCATCGCCTGCTGCTTCTGGCTCGTAGGCTCCATTCTCAGCTGCGCAGCTCAGAACATTGGCATGCTCGTCGTCGGTCGCTTCATCAATGGTATCTGCGTCGGTATCGCTTCTGCAACGGTCCCCTTCTACCTCGCCGAGCTTTCTCCTTCCCACATTCGCGGCCGCGTCGTCTCGGCACAGCAATGGGCCATCACTTGGTGAGCGTGCGCGCCGGTGCCGCAGATGCCGGGATGCAGCGCTCACCCTTAGTTTCCTGTCTCCCTCTCTCTTTTTAGGGGCATCATGGTGTTCTACTACATCAGTCTTGGATGCTCCTACGCCGCGGACCAAGACGGTCGCAACACGATCACATGGAGACTCCCCTGGGGACTTCAAATGATTCCCGCCATCTTCATCATGGGCATGCTTCCTCTTCTGCCCGAAAGCCCGCGTTATCTGGCCAAGAATGCTCGCTACCAAGACGCCTTGGACGTTCTCGCTCTCGTGCACGCAAAGGGCGATGCTAGCGACCCCAAGGTCCTGGCCGAGTTCGAACTCATCAAAGAGAACATGCAAATGGAGAGCGGCGAAGGCACGAGCTACCTCGACCTCTTCCGCGGACGTCAACTTTACCGTACCCATCTCGTCTTCTTCACCCAGGTCTGGAGTCAATTGACCGGCATGAACGTCATGATGTATTACATTGGGTGAGTGCTTGCGTGAACCCGCGCGCGCGCACGTACTCCATCCTGACACGGACGCATTTGCCCAGATACGTCTTCCAAATGGCCGGCATCTCCGACACAGAGTCCAACACCAAGTCATCGAGCATCCAGTACGCCATCAATGTCGTCATGACCGTTCCCGCACTCATCTACCTCGACCGTTGGGGCCGTCGTCCCACGCTCCTCATCGGAGCCGCGCTCATGGGTGCCTGCATGCTCATCAACGGCATCATCCTCGCCACTTGCGGTGGACCAGTCGACCGTTCCCTCCCAATCAACGCCGACCTTCCAGACACTGTCAGCTGGAGACTACCGGCTGGAGGCGCGTCAGGAAGAGCGATGATCGCATTCACTTACCTCTTTGTCGCCTCCTACGCTCCCACCTGGGGACCCGTCTCTTGGGTCTACCCCTCCGAAGTTCCCGTCCAACGTCTCAGAGCCAAGTCGGGCTCCATCTCTGCGGCGGGTAATTGGATGTTCAACTTTGCTTTGAGCTACTTCGTGCCCCCAGCCTTCAAAAACCTTAATTCATACGGCTGCTACTTCCTCTTCTTCGCCTTCAACGTCATGATGTTCATTCACGTCTTCTTGGCTTTCCCGGAAACGAAAGGGAAATCGCTGGAAGAGATCGCAGCCATTTTCGAGTCCAACGTTCCAGCCTGGCGAAGCTCCAAAGTGCTCAAGGACGTTCACAGAGCCGATGATCTCGCTCAGGCGGTTGCCCGTGGGGAGCTCACCGTCGACGCTGGCAAGGCACCCAATGCCGGCCCTCAGACACCAGAGTCTCCAGACTTCGAGAAGAAGGAACTTGCATAAACGACCGTGCAACTTCTTTGCATCTCGACGGCGCTTGTCGTCCGTCCATATACCTCGAAAAGATCACAGCGCTCACGAACGGCTCGAAGAGAGAGACCTTTGCCCGAGACCTGTGCTACGCATGTTGTACCACCGTCCATATGTTCTTTTACGAGCTTGTTCCCTGACGTCGCGTGCGCTTGCCAAATCTCACAAATGGCTTGAAATGCACATTGGAATACGAACTTTACGAATGTCGACAGATTGGGCTCGACGATGTGATGACGTCTTGCTAGAGTGTAGTGTAGTGGTGACATCTGTGAGCTTTGGGCGACCACGTTGCCGCGTCACGCACGACTTGGCCCTGATGGAGTCAAAGCTGCTTTGCTCTTTCCTCAAGCGGGATGTCGCTTCCAATGACTAGTCTCAGACTGAAGCAGCCAGTGAAGTCTCAAATGTCAAGCGGTCGGTGTACAAGATAGACAGGCCTTCTGTGAAATTTTTAAGACATTTCTTTAACCTTGTTGCCAGGTATGTAGATGCGCTATCATGCTGCACAACATCCAATATACATGTTCGAGCTCAGCATGGTCAGGAAAAGCAAGTGAGAGTTCCGGACCAGGTTGGACATCAAAGTTGGATCAGGAAAAATTCTCCCCACCAGTAAGCTCAGAGAGTTATGGTATTGAGAAGCCTAGATCAGGCTACTCTTGCCTGTCCGCAAGCTTATGCAGGCTTTGTTCCTTTGCCAGACGGACTCTAGGCTCTGCATTCCAAGCAGTAGAATGAGCAAGATCGTCCGCAATGTGTGATCTCTCAGTGGTTGATGTGAAAGATGGCGATGTGCCTGGCTGCAAGTTTTAGATGTAGACCGCACACGTGTCGCGGATGCCTGCGTCTGAATCAACAGAGGCAAAATTGGTACCAACCCACGCAAAAAGCAGAAGCAGGCAAAGTCAGCTTCGGATGGTGTGAATGTTGGGCAAGTCTTGACGCAGAGCTTACGCTAGTGAGGCAGAAAGTGCGACCTAGGGATGTGTCCAAACTATCGCAAGCCCAAAGGAAGCTGGGGAGGCGGAAAGAACCTTGACTCCGACTGCTAGCAGGCACCGAAGATGATCTGCGCAAGCAGAACATGGTCGAGCTCCAAGGGCAGCTCGAGACGGTAACGTTGCTCCAATGCGTTCAGTGGGAATGTGGCTCTCCATCGCTCGCAATTCTGGCAGCAAGGCCCCAGTCTAAAGACAGGCGCTCTTACCGCCAGGAGAATTGGCGCTCTTACCGCCTAGAGTACCGGAGCAATCTCAGGAAGCTTTCTTGAGTCCACAAACTCGGGAGGAAATCGGCAGACCTATCTGATTTGCAGTGCTTGCGCTCGATCAAGATGCCCACTTGTTCAAGAAGGCTGCCTGCCAGCCGGGTCGGCGCAGCAGATCGCGGGCACGCTGTTTCAGCCATCTCTCGTTCCCCCACCAGCCCCAACCCGCCATGAACCGTGCCCAATCCAGGATGGCCACCTCCCACTGCTCCCAGAACAATTGCCAACGTAGCCAAGCTTCCCCACCCCGCAGTTCGTGGTACTTGCGCAAGACCCTCTCCTCGTTGTCCGGTGAGAGCAGTTCGCTCGGCACGGAGGACTGCAGGAATTTTGCCAGATCCGTCACGCCCAAGGAGAAACCTGTGTACTGGAAATCGTATGCGAGCACGCCACCTGACGGATCCTGAGCTGCATCTTTGGGGTGCTTGAAAGCGAGATTGGCAGCCTTGACGTCTCCGTGGAGCAACGTGCGGCCAACTTGATCGGGAGCAGAGAGGAAATTGTCCAGAGCTTGCGCTAGGCCGGTGTTCCTGAATACAGCCCATTCGCTCGACGCTGGGATTGCCGCGAGCTCCTCTAAGCGCGTCGATAGGTAGCTGTCGAGGTCAATCTCACGTAAGCGGACGCAACAAAGACCTCGCTCGCCTGTAGCCCACGTGAGCTGGGCACAGTGGACGCAACACACGCTCACCTGTAGCCCACGTGAGCTGTGGACGCAACACAAACCTCGCTCACCTGTAGCCACCTCTTTTCCACACGCCCCCTCCGGACCATTGAGATGCAGCTGCGGGTGTGGGACATGGCTCTGCGTCCTGATAATCCTCAAAGTGTTGGTGAAAGCGGGCCAGCCAGTGTATCGCTTGCATAGTCTGCTCTTCCGTCAGCTCGCCGCGAGCTTCGGCCAGGATTGGATAGCCCTGTTTGACGTTCTGCATGAGAAGCGCCAAACCCCTCTCGCCGTCTTTGCAAGAGGCGATGTATTTTGGGACGGGGCATTGCGCGGGGAGCGTGTTGGACAAGCGCGAGTAAAAGTGCTCCTCGACTGCGTACGACAGGAGCTTGCGTGCGTCGGACTCGTCGTGATCTTCTCCCGAAATGTCTGGTGGGTCAATATGCTTGAGGATCAAGGATGGACCGCGCTTGAGCGTAACCGAGTAGATTGTGCCGTAGCCTGCCCAGAGCGTCTTTAAGCGCGCGCAATGCCTCGGTCTCTCGCCGGTCAGTTTCTCCACCAAGTCTGAAGCTCGGTCGGAATCGCGCTTCATCGTGTTATCGATGAGAAAGTGAGTGCTTGATCGGGAAAGTGGGTGCTTCGTGACCCACAAGCCGCGCTTCACATTGCACGCATGGGACTCACGACTGCGCACTGAAAGTTGCAGTCATGGCGATCACAACGGTGGTCGCGGAGACGGGGAGGTAGTCAAGAGTCTGAGTGTGAGTCCTTTGCGAGGTCATCACTCACCGCTCGCGAATGCACGTGCGAGCACTCGTGACTCGTGACCACACGACTGTTGGTCGCGGCGCGCGCAAAAGCGATCGATCAAGCGAATTTCGACGCGCAGAGGCAGCGTGATGATCATCGCATCTTGAGCTCGCGGCCGCCGCTGTGACGATCCACACCATCACCTTTGCGCTACCAACTGTCGCCGCACTCGAGCACGATGTCGGACACTACGGAGGAGCAAACTTGTAGGATATGCAGGAGCGGGGCAGAGGAGGATGCTCCGCTCTTTCATCCTTGCAAGTGCAGCGGCAGCATACAATATGTTCACTCGGACTGTCTGGTGGAGTGGCTGCATCACTCTAAAAAGAAGGTGAGCGGGTGCGTGGATTGCTGGGCGATCGCCGCTGACCCGAAGATGATCCCTGCCTTTCTGCACAGCACTGCGAGCTGTGCGGCCATGCATTCGCTTTTCACAAGCGATACTCGCCAAGCATGCCGAGCAAGCTGCCCACCCGACTGTACGTCAAGCAAGCTCTGCGAAGCATCCTCACATTTGTACGCACAACCTCTCGAGCTCTGCTAGTCGCTCTGGCATGGCTGGCCTTTCTACCGCTCGCAAACATCTACACCTGGAGGGCATACTTTTGGCTGGGAGATGCCATCGCTTGGTGCTTTGTCGGTGGGGAAGCTGCTCCTTGGAGGGTGCTGCTAGAGGCGCCTCCTGCCAGGCAGGCAGTCGTTCGTAGGAACATCACCAATGCGACCACAATCAGCCCAGCAGCCCTAAAGGAGCTCGCTGATCAAATCACAGCCAACATGACGGAGCTCCGCCTAGAGCTCGCAAACGTCACGCGCGCTTACGGCACCGCTGTTGTAGCCCCTCGCTTCACGATTGCAGCGCTTGCTACGAGTTTCTATCAGGGGGTTTGCGCGCACATCAAAGCCAGCAAACCTCACTTTGCCGCGATGATGAGGTGAGTGGGATGGGGGGGCAGGCCGGACTCTGGATGCAAACGCTGACAATCAGTGCGAGGCCGCTTCAGGGTTCTAGCGCGCGATACCTTTGAGGGCCAATTGCTGACTTGCGTGGTTGTGGTCATCTTGTGAGTCTGTGGTGCTCGTCTGTGGTGCTCGTGTGCTCGTCTGTGGTGCTCGTGTGCTCGTCTGTGGTGCACGTGTGCTCGTCTGTGGTGTTCCCAATCACAGATCCATCCTCCGCTGATCGAACCTCCCATCCACTCTTTTTCAGCGTCGCCGTCTTTCTCTTCAGAGAGTGGGTGATGCAGCACACACCTGCGCAGCCCATCGAAGAGTTGGCCGATGTAGCAGCGCCTGCGCAAGCACCTATTGCAGGTGCACCGGACGAGCACAGAGCTCGCCAAGAACTGCTTAGGCAACTCCGTCTAGCCGAAGGAATGGTGGAACGCCTTCCTCCACGAGCCATCGACGGGGCTGCGCAAAATGAAGCAGCGGGGCAAAGGGAGGTAGGGGCCGATGGCATGCCGACTGCCGAAGCTTTGGAACGCCGAAGAGCCCAAGCTGTTGCGATGGCGCTTGCGGCCAGAGCTCCTGGCAATGACGCGCATCAGAGAGCAGGCGGAGAAGAGGCTGCACGGCAACCCGAGTTCCTTATCGAGGATGGTCGACATTCAGCATCTAGCAGCAGCCCGGGTGGTGAATCTAGCCCAGAAGACACGGTGGACCCTGCAGACGATTTGCTGCGAGCGCGCGCTCTGCGCTTGAGGCGCTTCATGCCGACCAGCGAAAGACCTCAAGCGCAATCTTCGACTTCCGCCGAGCCTGCAGAGGACCGTTCTGTTACCAGCGCTCTCAGCTTCGAGGCCGGCGTGGCTAGCTTGGACGAGACGCAAAGTGCCCGAGCAGCACAGACGCGCGCGCGACCCGACACTCGAAGCGATGAGTGGCAAGCTAGCAATCCGGCAAGGGGCGCGCTGGATGCGGACGCCATGAGCAGGAGCTCTGGCAGCGAAGACCTACCGAGCAAAGGCAAGGGCAGAGCGAGCCTTGATGACGTCTCCGCGAATCTCATCAGCGACCACAACGATGGCTCGCAACCTTCATTTCCCCTCGATGCGGGCGACAATGACAACTCTGCCGGCTCTTCAAAAGCTGCCGATGTGGGCGATTCTCTCGCTTGCAGTGCCGCATCTACTCACCATGCCAGCATCTCGGAAGACTCTGCCCGCGTTAACGACGCGCCAGAAGATGCGGCGCCCGAGGAGCAGGTCCCTGATCTTGGAGCTGTAGCCAACGCCAACGCCAACGCTGGGGCTGATGCAGGACTGGGACTTGGTGCAGATCTAAATGTCGACGTTTGGGAGGACGTGGAAGACAACGACGTGGATGGCATCGGACTCGACGAGGACTTGGAAGGCATCATGGAAGGTGAGTTGGCGCGACCCGTGGCGTCTAGGCCTGGCTTTCACTCACCTCACCTGCGCTTGCTTCTAGCGATCGGCATGCGTGGCCCATTGGCGACGCTCGCAGGCAATGTTGCGATGATGCTGGTCCTGTGCAGGTGAGGTCCTGCAGCGAGACTCGCGTGCGGAGTGGATACCTGATCTTGTCCACACTCCGCTCAGCTTTGTGCTCATGATCTTTGTCGGAGTTCCATTCGTGAGTGTGCTGCGGTGCACGCCGTGCCGCGGTGCCTTCCTGGTGTTGACGCCGCACTTTTCGTCACGCAGGTGGTTGGTCGCACCACTGCGCTAGGTGTCAACCTGGTGCACATGATAGCATACCCCATCCATCTAGTCAGAAAGATCACAGACCCGCTCTTTGACTTTATCATTGCACGGGCTACAAGACATCTTGCCAGCGTCGCGCAAGAGAAGCCAGCGGCGACGACCTCTAAGATCGGCGACTGGATGGCAAGTCGGGCAAGTGATCTGACCCGCAGAGCACCAGCAGCTATTCTGCCACCCCTGCACTTCAGCATGCCCGCCAAGGTAAAAGAGAGCACGGAGAAAGTTGGGCAACTCGTCGTCGACGTTTTGCCCTTCCGAGCAGATCTGCCCTTCACCATCACCGCCGCCGTAATTCGCATCTACACCAGACTCCAAGCCAAGACGCAAGGCGACAGTCTCTCAGACCGACTGTTCTGCGTCCTCGTAGGCTGGCTTCATTGGCTCGGTCTCATCACACTGCAATCATACATCGACTCTGCAGCCTTTTCGCGCTTCAACGCCAAGTGGCTCAAGAGGCATCTGGACCAACAATTGCTCCTTTTGAAAGTCATTCTCTTTACCGTCATCGAAGTGGTATGCTTCCCTCTAGGATGTGGCGTGCTCTTGGACCTTTGCACCATGCCCTTATGGGAAGGCGTCACGATGGCCACTCGCTGGAGGCATTTTCAAAGCGCTCCTTTCTCCATCGGCTTCACCACTTGGGTCGCAGGCACGCTGTGGATGTGAGTGTCTGCCAGGCCTCGCGTCCCGACGTGCTGCTGATTTTGTTCTGCAACAGGTACGTATTCGCCCAATTCATCAGCACCACTCGATCCATGCTGCGTCCTGGCGTCATGTGCTGGATTCGCAACGGCGACGATCCAGCTTTTCAACCCATTGTACGTGTGTTGTGCAAGGCGCATCTCTGGACGTAGAATACTGACACCCTCGCAATGCCAGCGCGAAATCATCGAGCGCCGCAGTTTCCTCCAGCTCAAAAAGATTGGCATTTCGGCATGTCTCTACGCGACGGTGCTTTCGTCCACGGTCGGGTGCGCCGTCTACTTTACACGCTACTGTCTTTGCGGCTTCTTGCCGTTGATGTGGCGCCCGCATGAGGCCATTTCGCCGCTGCCCTTTGACCTTCTCGCACTCCTCTTTCTCCTCAAGCCGGTAGTGAAGGCGTGCAAGCCGGAAGCGATTTTCAAGACGTATGCCAAAAGGTGGTGGACGGCAACCTCCACCTACTATGGTCTCGGGCAGTACCTCGTTGGGGCGCAAGAAGACGCACAATCGACCGCGGATTGGGTTTGGGCTCGAGTGCCGGACAGCGACACCATGGTTCCTGGTCCGCTGTTGATTTGGACTGACGCCGAGGGCGAACCGCTGACGGAAGCAGGCCGCGCAGCCAGAGACGCGCAAGCTCGTGCCGCCGAACCGATGACCGTCAAGCCGAAGTACCTCAAACTCAAGCTTCCTACGCGCTTCCGCTATCGCCTCATCTCGGTCCTGTCAACGCTGTGGATAACGATCTGTGTCTGCATCGTCATCAGCCTCACCCTACCGCTCTACGCCGGCCGAGCGATCGTCTCTGGGACAGGACTTGCTCCTCTGCACGACTTTTACAATTATTCGCTCGGACTAGCGCTTTGCACCATGGCAACGGTCGTTGGTTCGAAGATTGCCCGATGCGCGCGTCGGCGCCGGGCCGGCACATTCCGTTGGCGGCCGTTCCTCTCACGAGCAAGCACGATCGCCCAGCGTGCAGCAAGTCGTCTCTGGATCATCATAGCTGTGAGTGGCCTTTCAGAGCGCGTGCCTGCGAGCAATGCTGACGAGGCCTTCGACTGCAAGTTCGGAGTAATCACGCCGACCCTGCTTGGTCTGGTCATTGACATCTACATTGGCTCGACGTTGCGCGTGCGCAAGCTATCGGAGCACTCGCTAGCGTTTGCATGGGCTACTGGGCTATTACAGCAAAGGATTGCCGTTTTCGGACTACGTTGCCTGCTCCTGCTGCACCAGCGGCAAGGCGAAGCGACTCCAGGCTTTCGATCCCTTGTCCGTGACTTTTTGACCTCGGTGGATACGGTGAGCCGCACACTTCCAGCGCCTACCGCTTGCTCGTGGCTGACGGCACCTCTTCTCGCCACCTCTAGCTCCAAGCCTCTGGCTTTCGGAGACCACGACCTAGACATGCTACGATCCACGTTTTTCTGCCCGTGATCGCTTCGCTCACGAGCTTCATCGTGGTGCCCATCCTCGTCGTTGTTACCCTGACAGACGTTTTGGGAGTCGTCGGCAGCGAAGCGCAGATGCTTCGCGTTGCAAACATCGGTCTCATGGCTGGTCTCTCGTGAGCAACGCATGCCTTTTGCAAACGCCCCGGATCGCGATGGCTGATGCGTAAAAATGCCACACAGACTTTCCTTTTCTGCTCGCTACACCGACGGCATCATCGATAGCTGGACAACGGTGAGCGTTGCTGATTTCCAAGCGACAGGTGGCACGCGCGCTCACTTTGCTCCCCCCTTAGGTCCTTCGAGACGAAAACTTTCTCTTGTCAACGCAGCTGCAAGACTACAAACCAGAGTCTGTGTCCACCGCTGGTGTACAAGCATAGCTTACAAGGCACCTAGACCGATGCTCCGAGACGCATATCTTCCCCGTTGCTGCACCATCTCTGGTGTGGCTGAGACGCCCAACAACACATCTTCCCGTTACTGCACCATCTCTGGTGTGGCCAAGACGCCCAACAACACACCTTCCCGTTACTGCACCATCTCTGGTGTGGCCTCGCATCCGCTCCAATCCACCATAGCACACATTTGTATAGTACAATTCATAGCCCAGTCTTTGCGACCCATGCCGGGCTGGCCTTGGGTCTCATCAATGCGCAACCTGTGGCAATTGTTGAAGCAGCATCGTCAGCCAGCTTGCGAGTCTGTCTCGATGGCATGTTCGCCATCGTCTCTGCAAAGTCCTGCACGCATCCAGCGCCGCGCTGCAAACACAATCCGCGCCGGTCGTACGGAGGAAACGCCGCGAGGGCAAGTCCGCGCGCGCCCCACGAATTCGGTTCGAGCGGACTGTTGAGTGGGACGCTACGCTCAACGCAGTCAGCTGAGCATGCTGCAGTCGTCATCAGCAGCGTTCTTTCGATCGAGTCAATTACATGGAAGAATCGATGAAGAATCGGGTCAAAGTCAGGCAGGCGCGTACGCACTCAAAGCCCGAATCATGCATGAATTCAAATCACGTCAAAATGTCAGTCTGCGATGTCTGACTCGATCAGCGGCAAGCACCGGCAAGGTGGAGCCGGTGAGCTTGCTGTGAATCGCTATGAGCTGACTTGTTGCATTCGTGATTTCAGCTCGGCTTAGCTTTGGATGCGTGATAAAGCTTAAAGCAGCGCCGTAGCGATGGGATTTGCTCGCGCGCGCTCACACGTTCGAGTGCTTGTCAAGTGTCAACCCGCGCAGTCGCAGTCGAGCAGTCCGATCAACACCGAGCTTGGCATGCCGCGTCGATTGCGCTCACAGCTCCTACTCGACTGGTCGATGATATATACCAGCTGCTTCGTGAACAGACTCTTGATTAGCGATTGCCCCAGTGTCGTTGGCACCCAAGACAGTCACGAGTAGCGTGACGGTCCCACTCCAACGCGTCCAAGCGTCATTAATTGTTGCTGCGCGGCGCGCCCAAGAGCGACAGTATAGCAGTAGCTTCCCTTTCCACCGCCTCCACCTCTTCGTCTTTACATCCGCGGCCAGCAGGCAAGTCGTGGTGTTTGTTGTCCACCACAATCACGCGTCCATTTGGTAGTGCGCACACGACCAACATATCTCTTCCCGCCCTATCCCCGCAAATGTCAACCTCTCAAAGAGCTTCCAGAGCCGCTCTTCGGTGGCTTGGCGAACAGAGCGCCGCATCCACCTCGAGCAACGCAGCAGCCAGCGGATCCTGCATCACCCTATCCGCCACTCGCAACGCCCAGACACACTCGGCACCGAAGCGATGCGGAGCTCAAAGGAATTTTCGCAGCGATCATGCCGCCAGTCTGTGTCCACCCCGTGGTGCTAAAAAACACTTTAGCACCAGCTCGTCCAGCTCGAGCTTCTGGCCTGCTGGGACTGCTCCGCCCGAAGATGAGCCGCAATGGCAAGCTGGTGGTGGTCCTCCTTCGAACGTCGGAGCTGGAGCTGCACACAGAAAGACAGGCTCCGCATCGATGTACCCATCACCAGCCTCTGTGAGCGCTAGCATTGCGCAATCGGATACGCACAGAAGATCCGAGGGCGCTCGACTCGTCTCAGCACCTCCGCCCAAGACTGTGCATTACATTGCCGAGATGAAGCGGCGCGGACAAGCAATGTGAGTGATGAAGCGAAGCGCACACTCCGAGGCACCACTGGCTGACGCACCTCCAATTCAGAACTGTCCTTACGGCGTATGATTATCCGACCGCACTAGCGCACCGTTCGGCCGATATTGACATCTGTCTGATCGGTGACTCGCTGGCCAATGTGGGACTTGGTCATGGATCGACGCAACGCTTATCAGTCCCAGCGATGGTGCACCACATCCAGACCGTCGTTCGAGGACTCTCTTCGCCGCTCTTGTCGGGCGAGGGCAGACCAGCTCTTCCTTTAGTCATCGCCGACATGCCATTTGGATCCTTCTTTGCGAGTGTTGAAGAGGGAGTAAAGAATGCGCTGGCGCTGATCAAGGAAGGTGGAGCGGATGGGGTCAAGATAGAAGGAGGACAAGAAATCGTGCCTCTAGTCGAGCGCTTGACAGATTTTGGCATTCCAGTGATGGCGCATATAGGACTTCAACCTCAACGAGCAGCCGCATTGTCAGGTTTGACGCTGAGAGGAAGGACTGCGGAACAGGCGATCAGCATCGTCAGAGATGCTCGAGCGCTAGACAGAGCTGGCTGTTTCGCCGGAGTGGTGGAATGCGTGCCGAACAAGGTGGCCAAGGAAATCAGCAAAAGAGTCGGCTTTGCTACGATCGGCATAGGAGCTGGACCAGCAACGGATGGACAAGTGCTCGTGATCAACGATATCCTTGGCGATCTCACAGGTCCGGCTCACGTGCTTGCTGGTCTTCAAGAGACTGACCACGCGTCAAACATGCCCCTGCCGCTTCCCCACGCTCAAACTCCTCGTCCACCCAAATTCGTGCGCAACTTTGCGGCGCAAGCCACTGGCGGAGCGACGCTTGGCTCCATTAGGATCGCAGCTGTTCGAGCTTACGTCGAAGCTGTCAGGAATCGTGACTTTCCAAACGAAGATGTGGAAGGCTACAAGATCAAAAGGGAGGAGCTGGAACAATTCAGAAAGCTTTTGAGCGGGGAGGATGCTAATGATGCTCCGAAGCGGTAAATTGTGTGCGCGAGCACGGTACTATCATTATAATGTTCCGATGCGCGCGCAACACCTGGCCACAATGCATTTCCACTCGCCCTGACTTTTCTGCCACGAGTGTGCGTGGCGCTAGGGCGAGCACGCATGCACGCGTGCGCACAACGGCAATGGTGAAGAGGGTGCGACTGCAGAGATGTTTTGGATTGAATTGAGCGAAGTGTGAAGCTTGCTCTCACGATGCGGATACAGATGACGTGTGGGCGAACGGTTCAGGGCGTAGAGGAAGAGGGGTACATTGTGGTTCAATCGCTCGGCTCTTGAGGGTCTCTCCAGAGGCAAAGAATTGTCCCTTCGCAAAGCTCCTCTCCGACGCGAGACGGTCGCAACGAGCGTACACGGGCGAGGTGTAAATCTAGTGGCCGGAAGGAGGAGTGTAGTGGAGCTTGCGGTTCTTGATGCCTGCCCACTTGAACCTCTTGACCCAGATGGACATGGCAAAGAGGACGGTCAACAGGGTCACGGCTTGAGCTCCCATCCTCTTCCTCTCATCGTGTTCGGGTTCGGATGACCAGTTGAGGAAAGTTACGACGTCCTTTGCCATCTGTGTAGTCGTTGCCGGTGTGCCATCCTCGTACTCTACCAGACCGTCATACAGCACTCGCGCCATGGCGATCTTTGTTCCCGGAAAGTATGGGTTGAAGTTGAGACCCTCGGGAACGTCAAAGCCCGCAGGAGGGTCGACGTAACCGGTCAAAAGAGCAAAGACGTAGTCTGCACCACCGTGACGAGCCTTGGTGATCAAGCTGAGATCAGGAGGCAGACCTCCGTTGTTTCCCGCTCGCGCAGCTTCCTCGTTGGGGTAGGGTGCTGGCATGGGGTCGGCCAACTTTCCTGGCCTCATACCAATTTCGCCCTCGTCGTTGGGCTCTCCCTCGTACTCGACCTCTTCAGCCATCGCCTTTACCTCATCGACGGTGTGAGAAACGCCAACCAGGTTTCGCCAGTTGATGCGGTCAAGCGAGTGGCACGAAGAGCAAACCTCGCGGTACACTTGGTATCCACGGCGAATGCTAAAGGGCGGCAAGGAGACGTAGAGCTCAGCGCGCGCGGCTCACATCCTGACAGCGCAGGCGGACCAGGCGTTCACTGCTCGCGCGAGTCATGGCTGGCTGCAAATCAACCTGCCCAACTCCGCAGCCACAGCGCTCGAAGCTCACCTTGAGTGATCAAACGTCTCAAACACGCCCTTGTGGCTCCACGGGTAAGCAGGCGGGTGAAGACCATTGTCGATCATGTTTGCCGACATCTCTCCAATACCGGGAATTCCACCACCAAAAACCTGAGCGTACCACGCTACTGTTCCGACAGCTGCTCCAGTAGCTCCATAAGCTGCCAGACGAGATGTCAAGAAAGGTTGAGCGCTCGAGGCGGAAGTCGAAGCGGATCGTGCCTGGGAAGGAGGAAAGGGAGCTGGGTAAGCTTATGAAGATCGGCGGCAGCACATGACACAAAGGTGTGTCCGCATCCCTTTCGCTGCTTGGCGCGGGGATGCTTTTGCTATGGTCTCGTGAGAGGAGTTATGACTATGCGAGGTAGCAGCTTCCAAGGCCCACTTACCGCAAAAGGGGCCTGCCTACGCGCAGCAGCTCTCAGTGCGCTGGTTGCGGGCGCAGAGAACAGTGAAGCCATGGTGTGCGGGTCGAAGTGATGC